AAAAAAAATAAAGAAGAAGTTCCACACTCTATTTTACTCTTATTAAAGTAAAGAAATTAGTAGCTACAACAAAAAATGATAAATACGTATTTCTTTAATTAAGAATTATGTGTCTACAATGTCTTTATTAAATTTTTTTATTCATTATCAATAAATTAAATAAGAAAATAACTTCATTAGTTATATTGTCTTTATTTTCTCCAATGCAAATATTATTTACATTCAAATTCATTCAATTGTATTCATTACATTCTCCATTATCTTCTTTTTACACTATCTTGTAAGTAAATATCAAAGTTGTAATACAAAATAATGTTATATATTTATTTATCAAGTATTTTTTTTATTAGTACGATGAAAAAAATGTAAAAAAAAATAGTTTGAAGCCAATCATATTAACTACTTGGGGGATTTGTTGACAAAGAAAGTATTCAAACAACCGAACAAATTGAAGCGAGAAAATATCTCGTAATATCTTTAGACTATATTATATTTAAAATGTTTAAATTTGTACTACTTTATCTAATCTTATTCCCTAATCTAGGGATTTCTTTATCCACAATAACTCATTCAACAATAATGGTTGAACCAAATGAACCCCGAGAAGAACACCTAAAGGACTTATATACTTTTATGTTGATAATAATATGTAAATATTAATTATATCATTATCTTAAATAGCTACATTTAAAACTCATTATTAAAACAATCAATGTAGGGCAATGGAACATCGTAACACACTTGATGCATTGAAAAGATGCGAGACTACAACAATGCTGCAATCAATTTGGCAAACCTACAAAATGAAGAAATTTCAAAATAGCCACCGTTGATTCATTCATTTATCATGTATGTAAAACTTTACCAAATGAATTATTATTGCTTAATTTACACCATTTTTGTATGCCATGATTTCTTGTTGTGCCCTCAGGTGAAGAGAGCTCCATTTATTACTTTCTGTGATATTGAATCAGAAGATTCTTCATGAGGAAGTCGAAGATGAAGATTTCGATATGTGGAGGAAGCCCAACTCACCAGATTGATCCGCGATTGTGAAGAATGAACAGAGAATAATTCAACTATGGCGATTTGCGAAGATTGTTTGGTTTGGACTAGGGTTCTCGCTGTCAATAGAGATTTAAGAAGTAATTTCCACCTCACCATAAACTTTAATTCTAATAAAATTACATGTCAGCAATTCGGCAACCTGGAGGTAACATGCCAAAAAAAGCTAATCGAACAATTTTAGGAAGTGTGGCTTATTAGACTATATTGGTAGAAGAATTGGTAACAGCAGAACAACTCTAATTTGGGGACAAAAATTGATGGATAATTTTAATATCCTCGCTAGTGCATGAGTCATTGTAACAATAGCGTGCAAAGGCAATAGTCGATCCTACAGGGCATTGTACGATGCAATTTAATAACTTAAAATGACAAAAATAATTGGCGAAATAATTGACTTGATAATTTAAGGGTTCAAAGCTAATGAAAAATCAAATACCAAATAATTGAAATACAGAATAAAATGTAAAATCTTCAATTGATCGACAACTTAGATGAATTAATGCAGAATGTTCATGATAAATAGTTCATGTCCCTAAAGCAAAGAAAACTAGCAAACCATTCTAGAGATGCAATTGACCCACATGTACTGTCAATAATCAACTAACTAATGAAATAATGAAATTGTAAACTGCTAAGCAAACCCAATAGAAAAATGTTAATTGGCCAAACTAAGTTCAAAACTAGTGCAAACTTTCATAGTAAATTATTGATGTTCTAAAAATGCTCAGCCAAATATAATAACCATAACTAAAGGGCAAATGTAGTACATAAGATTTATCAACTCTCAAATTATAATAAACACTAGCAGCACCAAAACTAAATTAAAACCTTAATAAAGAATTGCTATTAAATCTTAAAACAAATTAAGCACCTTAATTAAATCAAAGAAAAGGAAAAACAGTATTTGAAGAGAACAATGAAAAGTAAGATGCTGTCACCAAGGAAAATTCGCCAAAGCCAACAAATAATTTCAGCCACCGCCGGAATTGTTGCAGACCAGAATTCCGTCGTCGCCAACCTCTAGATAATCACCTCCGACCGGAATTGGTCCGAAAGTGAAAACTGATCAGAAGCCTCCGGAAGTGGTCCGGAGCAAAATTGATGATCCTCTGATGTGAGGTTTGTTCTCTATTTATAGTGTTCAGGCCTTCCGCTCTCCGCTCAGATCGCAAAAGGAATTGGTCTGCGGAAGATTGGTTCTTGTCTGCTGAGCTTACGCCTCTGTTCTCTCGTGCATCGACCGCCATTGACGGAAAGAAGGGAGAAGAACCGCTATTTCATGGACTCGAAACATGCTGATACAATCTTATTAACTAACCTAATAATAATAATAATAATAATAATAATAATAATAATAATAATAATAATAATAATAATAATAATAATAATAATAATAAACTAAGATCAAGGAATTAAAGGACTAACAGAATTCAAATATTAAACAAATTTAATAATAACTATACTAAAATTGAACGAAATTAATAAAGCTATTAAAAATAATATTAAGTAAAAATATATATTAATTAATTAATTAATTATTAATTATTGCAAATAAACTATAAAAAGATTATATAAAAATAACCATAAAAATAATGTTTATCACACCCGCAGGTTAACCCCAGTCCGCTCGTCCAAACAGTTATGCCTGAGGAGTTGAGGGAAGCAATGGTGGCACGGCTAATTGATCAGCAAACTAATATGTGGGATCCACATATTTTAACTGATCTTTTTAATCCTGAAGATGTCGAGCGTATCTCTAAAATACCTATTAGTCTAGACTATGAGGACTCATGGTATTGGCTCAGTGACCTGCGTGGAGTGTATTCAGTTAAAGATGCCTATAGAAGAATTGTGGGTGAATTTGAGCATAGTCCCAGAACGTTTGACAAATGGAGTGTATTCAGGAAGGTTCCGGATTGCGAGAGAAGAATGGCGCCGTAGGTGGCATCTCCGGTGGCCGCCCGAAACCCCGCATCCATATAACACTTAGGGCGAACTTGCTCCATTTGTGTGGTTGTTTCTGCTGCCAGCTACCGAGGAGGCCGTCGGTGTAGCTGTGCGTACGTGTGCATGGCAGCAGCGGCTCGTCGCCAGATCAGTCCGGGCCGCGGCAACGAACCCTCCCATACCGCAGTGTTCCGGGCATTCCATAGATGGTAAAGTACGGCGACCAAAAAACCACATTGCTCTTCTGTCAAAATATTCAGTGCACCCATAAGCCATACAGGAAACGAATTAGACACAATATTTGTGATAGGCAGTTCCGTAACATTCCACACAAGTATAGAGTAATCACAAAGAACAAGAGAGTGCACACCATCCTTATGTTGCAAATCACACATTGAGCATGTTGGGTTCACATCTACCCTCTTTAAAAGCAAGTTGTTAGTGGTGGGGAGAATATCACATACAGCCCTCCATAGGAAGGTTTTCCATTTAGGGGGAACCTTTAATTTCCATACTGTTACCCATTTATCAAATGCACCTGGGTTCTGGTCATAGTTTCCAGTAATATGCCTATAAACATTTTTGACTATATACTCTCCTTTGGGGTCACTGAGCCAATACCATGAGTCCTCATACGCTGGACTAACCGGGATTCTAGATATATGAGCTACATCAACCAGGTCCAATAAGTCTGCTAAAATATGGGGATCCCAATTATTTGTCTGTTGATCAATTAATCCTTACACACGAGTTCCCCTCAACTCCTCAGGCATAAGTGTTTGAACTAAGGGACTGGGATCATCAGGAAACCAAGGGTGTCCCCAGATCAAAGTTTCCTTACCATTTCCAATTCTCTCGCGGGCCCCAGAACATACCATATCATGTGCAGCCATGATACTTCGCCAACAATAACTTGGAAAATTCCCTAAAGTGGCATCAATAAAAGAGGTTTTCGGGTAATACCGAGCCTTGTAAACTTTTGCAGCTAGGGAGTTGGGATCAGAAAAGAACCGCCAGACCTGTTTCCCAGCATAGCCAGGTTGAAAGCACGGAGATCCTTAAAACCCAAACCACCAAATTTCTTAGGGATACACAATTTGTCCCATGCTTTCCAATGAATTCCCTTGTCAGTTCCACTTCCCCACCAATATCTGTTCATAGTTCTTTCAATAGATAAACAAACCACATCAGGTAATAAAAAAACACTCATAGTAAAAGTGGGCATAGATTGGGCCACACTTTTCAAGGGCACTTCCTTACCAGCCTGGGAAAGAAACTTCTTATTCCAAGATCCAACTCTTTGCCCGATTTTATCCTCCACATAAGAAAACACAGCCCTTTTATTTCTACCCACAAACGAAGGCAGACCAAGATATTTTCCAAAATTCAAGACTTGTACAACTTCCAGGGATTGCGCCACTTCATCTCTAATATTCTCGGGGGTATTCCTGCTAAAGCAGATACTTGACTTATGAAAATTCACCATCTAGCCAGATAACATCTCGTACCTTATTAAACACTGTTTAATCACATTGGCTTCCTGAACATTTGCTTTGAAAAAAAGGAGACTATTATCTGCAAAGAACATATGTGAGATAGGGGGGCTCCTCTAGCTACTCTGCAACCATGTATTGTGCCTGCCATCTGAGCATTCTGTAATAACATAGACAAGCCTTCCGCACAAATAATAAATAAATAGGGCGAGAGTGGGTCACCTTGCCTGAGGCCACGTGTTGGGATTACCTGACCCGTATCCACTCCATTTACCATGATGTTATAGGTAACGGTAGTCACACACAACATAATTAATTTAATCCACCGACCATCAAATCCCATCACCCCAAGCATCCTTTCTAGGAATTGCCACTCCATTCTATCATAGGCCTTTGCCATATCCAGTTTTAAAGCACCCCATCCCGTCAAACCACATTGCTTTCGATTTAAGTAATGGCCAACTTCAGCAGCTATTAAAATATTATCAGTGATTAATCTCCCCGGAATAAAGGCACTATGGATTCTGATATTACTTCTCCCATGAGTGGTTTCATTCTGTTTGCTATCATTTTTGCCATAATTCTATATAACACATTCCCCAAAGCAATATGTATCACATCTGAGACTCTTTCTGGCACATTCTTCTTAGGAATTAAAATAACATTTGTATCACTTAATCCTTCCGGGAAAGCACACGAATTTAAGGAGTTAACAATAAAGGCAGAAACATCTGCCCCAACAACATCCCAAAAATGCTGATAAAAACCCGGATTCATTCCATCCGGACCTGGAGCTTTATCAGGGAACATAGAAAATAAAGCCAACTTGACCTCATCAGGTTCAAACGGGCGCAATAAGACATCATTTTGAGCAGGAGACACGCGAGGGGCAAAATTATCAAATAAGAGATCATTGCACATAAAGTTACTAGAGTCAAAAATAGATTTAAAGTACCCCAGGATAATTAAATTCATATTTTCCCCTTCCACCCAAACCCCATCATCATTCTTCAATCTAGTGATAGAGTTCTTTTTCTTACGAGCAGATGCATACCTGTGAAAAATTTTTGTATTGGAATCAGCTTCCCTTAACCAGTGTTGCTTTGCTCGTTGTCTCCAGAATATATCCTGTGTTGCTTTACTCGTTGTCTCCAGAATATATCCTCATGGGCCTCCAGCTGGCAAAGTTGATGATTTAAACCTTAGAATTCGGCTAAAGTAGCCGGATCCCTTCGATTTCGAATAGCCTCCTGTTCCTTACGCAACCGTTGAATGCGGTCCCCAAATTTGTGAAAGTGCTCACCACCTCATCGCATTAGTTTTTCAGCACATCGTTTCTGACAACCCATTAACCCTTATGGGCTCCCATCATCCCATGCATTTTAAACGACCTCCCTGCACCCCTCATCAACGAGCCAGGCCATCTCGAACCTAAAACCCCTCCGTCTTCTATCCCTTTGCATGTTCATAGCATTAACATTGAGGAAGAGAGCCGAGTGATCCGAAGTCCGCGTCATAATATTTTCCACACCAGCCCCCTCATTAGCGCCACACCAGGATGATGTTGCCAGAACCTTATCCAATCTCTCCTCTATCCAGTTTTCAGTGCCACAACTCTTTTCCCAGGTAAACTGATGCCCTCGCATGGGTAACTGCATCAGCCCACACTCTTCTACCGCCTCCCCAAAACCGCGTATGAGGTTGTTCGGATGTGGATTTCCACCCTTCTTCTCATGTTGAAACAAGAGATCATTAAAATCCCCTATCACAACCCATGGCAGTGCTGATCTGCTACTCAACACACCAAGTAAAGCCCATGAATCCCGTCTCCTATTACGCTCTGGGAAACCATAGAAACAGGTCATGCGCCTAATCATGTCATCTTTAATAATAACCTCAACATCTACGTGGTTCTTAGAGAAGCTTAAAAGTCTAGCAGTATTATTTTTTCTCCAAAACAGCGCCAATCCACCACTCAAACGCACATTGTCAACATAAAATAAACCATCAAAAACAAGTTTGATGCGAAGCCGTTCTGCATATATCCGCCCAACCTTATTTTCCATTAAGTATACAAAGTCGGGCTTCTTATGGGACACTATGTCCACAACTTCTCGAACTGTTCGTGGATTGCCCAAGCCACGACACTTCCAGCTCAGAGTACTCATAATGATGGGTGGGTCTGGGAAACAGAACCCGCCAACTGCAAGTTTTTTGACATGTCAGACATTTCAGCATCATCGTCTCCACCACCAACCGGCCTACCCAGACCATCCGACCCCTCACAGCGTCGTTTTGCTGCTGCTACCACTGGACTGCCCTCACGACTCCTTCCTCCCACGACCGGCGAACCGGAACTCCCATCGTCCACCACACCCGCCGGACTACCAACCCCCCGAGGTGGCCCCGTGACCGGTATGAGCCACGGATCCGCAACCGGGCGCGGTCCAGTCCTACCCCCTGCACGTAGCCCTTCCCCGTACGGATATAGTTTTACCGGAAGGTCCGAGTTATGTGCATTCAGACAGAACATGTATGCATGACCTATCATACCACAGAAGAAACAATAAGTGTGCAGTCATTCGTACTTAAATAACACCCAGCATGTGGTCTTGTCGCGCTTCGTAAGCTTCATATGCCTTTTTCAATGGTTTCATAACCGGTACCGAAACCCTAATACGCTAGAAGGACCTCCAAGGAGCACCCACAAAACGGTCATCACAACAGATAAATTTTCCAATAAAATTACCAACCTGCTCCTGTATGATATCCGATGTGTATCCCATAGGCAAGTCATGACACTAAACCCACATATCAACCGAGTCCAGCAGTACATCATCGGCCTTGACCCCATCTACCACTTACCGGCACACCAACGTGAAGTTGTCGAAGGACCATGGTCCCTCCTCCATAACGCGGATCTATCGGTTTTATGCCAGAAAACAAACAAGAATAATCCCGGTTGGAGCTTTGAGATTTGGACGCCCATCACCGGTTGCCAGACGGACGCCAGAACTTGCCGCATGAACTCAATTTTTATCAAATTAGCAGTGAGAAACCTACCGATCGACAAGGGTCCAAGTTGCTTCGTCCGCACCCCCCGCCTCGCCGTCGGCCACCAACGGAACCACGACCTCCTCCTCCTTCTCTTTGTTGAGCACCAAATCTGCCCATCTCGCCGTTACACCTTCCACTGTCGGCACACCAGCCATCACAAACCGTTATCATAAAGGAAGCACGGCAGTATGCTGGGAGAAAAATGCAAGAACACTGAAAACCCTAGAACCCTAGGAAAGAGACCAAAACCCTAGAATTCTAGAGAGAGAATTTTATGAGGACTACCTATGACCTATATTATTTATACTTCTTAAATATTATTCCCTAAATCACCACAACTACCTAAATATCTTTATATTTTCTAAGTCACCTCTACATTCCAAAATATTTAATTGTCATAAGAAAACTCACTTATCATATGCAGTACTATTTTTCTACTATAAAAGGGACATAGTTGGAGACAAGGAGGGGTATCCATAAGATCTCACAATACACACAAGATTCAAGACACACCAACCTCTCTACACAAATCTCTCTCTACCCGTAAAATACCTCTCTTCTCCCCAAATTCCATAAAATATTCATAGTCCGAGAGCTCTATAAATAAACTGTACTTGTACCAAATTACTGCAAATATAGTGAATTTTGGTTTGACACCGTCCCAAATGGCTTGTGGTTTTTACCTTTCGATTTTCACATTAAAAAAATATTGTGTCTATTTATTATTTCGCCTCATCTCAAATTTATTTATTTTCTATCCCATCATCCAACCGGTCATGATGGCATGCTGATTGACTACCACGTAGTCATAAAACCATCAATTACATTTACCGATAATCGATTAAAATATATATTGGATTGGATCGAACCAAATAATAAAAATATTGACCTGGGTCACCCAAAAAAAAATACTAACTTTTGTTCTTAAACTTTTTTAGTTAAGTGTCATTACATTTATCAAGGTTTGATAAAAAACTAACTTTTGGTCTTCAACTTTCTTCAATTTCTTTAGTTCAGAATAATTATAGCTATCAATTTATATATTTTATTTTTATTATATTAAGTTAATTAAAAATTATTTATTTACATATTTTATTATAATTATATTAATCTTTATAAGTATTATAAATTTTAATTTATAATTTTATTTTAAAATAAGTAATTGTTGGTCCCGAAAGGGTGGCGAGAAGTCTAGAGGGGGGGGGGGGGGGGTGAATAGACTTCTCTAACTTTTCAAACTTCTTTAGCAAACAACACTTTGGTAACTTCAACTCTAAGTAACAAGCATAAACAAGTATAACAACTTAGAGTGTGCACAACGGAAATGTAACGGCAAGTGTTATGCTTTAATTGTGTCGTGCTCAAAGAGAGATTCTATACATGCATCACGTTAGAAACACTTGATATAGATGTAGGATGATGTATATAAAATTTCACTTGCATGCAAACGAGGGAACTATCAAACCCAGACAGATAAAGATACGCAATAAACCGTAACGGGTTAGTTCACAGATAATATAAGCATGCACGAAATTAAATGAGCAGTAAGTAAATAGAGAGAGAGATTTATAGTGGTTCAGAGGTGGTGTAATCCTCCTAATCCACTCTTCTTCTTTCACTTCAAGGAGGAAATTCACTATTCTTCGATCACCCAGATACAATAGTGAATAAGTGCCCAGCGACACTTCTCCGAGTGCTTCGCACAAAGCTACACTCCACCAAGGTTTTTCGCAAGCTCCTCTTGTTACTCCGCCTTCCCGAGTACTTCGCACCAAGCTGTACTCCTACACCACGAGAACTACGCACAAAGCTACGCTCTCACCGGGTTTTCACAAGCTCCCCTTGTTACTCTGCCCGTTACAACCGAGTGCTACGCACAAAGCTACACTCCAACTGGGTTTTTCACTCTCTCCAGTTACTCTACCACTTTTCTACACTCAGTAGAAGATTTACAATGAAAAAATAATTTTTCTCTCACTCAGACTTGAATTTAATCGTGTATAGCTCAATGTATTGCTTCTTGGCTGATTTGAATATTGCTTGCTTTTCTCTTTGTTTTTCAGCCGTATTCAAGTTGTGCAAGTCGTGCTTGTCTTCAAGTCTGCTTGGGCATTTTATAGCAGATGAAAGCTATTTGCCCGTTGATCAACTTTCGATCTCGATCGTCCATTTTGAATTGTAGTTGATCAAATAATTTTGCCAACTTGGTCTGCAAAAATCATTTCGCCGTCTGTCAGAAGATTTTGAGAAATCTTGCTGTTGCTCTCCTTTAATCTGACAAAGCTTTTCTTTGGAATGGGTAGCCTCCAAATTTGAATTTCTCTGGCATGATTTTTGTTGAATTATTGATCTGATGTGCCAAGTTGATCAAATAATTTATCTACTAATTCTTGCTTGAGTATTAAAAAGATCTCCTTCGTATATCAGCTTCTTCTTCTCCTTCGACTTCTTCTGCAGAAACAGAGCTTCAAAATAATGTTTCTGTCTAATTCTATCATGATGTCATAGCTCCATTTGATGATGTCATAGCTCCATTTGATGATGTCATGTCCCAATAGTGTATCATGTTCCACCTTGTATCATGGACTATATATCATGTTCCACCTTGTATCATGGACTAGATATCACGTTCCATTGTATATTAGGTCCAATATCATGTTTTCATAAAATTGCTTCAAGTGGGAATCGAACTGTGGACTATTTGCTCTGCTTAGCAAAACTTCTTCCATCTCGGCTAGGTATCCAATTAATACAATCCAAGACTTAAATTCTTTTGTCTTGTCTCTTCCACGTGTTCTCCACTAGCCTTACCACACAGTGATGTCATCACCCGATAGTAGTGACATCATCATCCGATAATTATACCTATCACGATATAAAATTGTTCTTTCATGATATTTTATTGTGACATCATCTCCTGATATTGCTACTTCACGATAACAATTCATCTTTGCACCAAAATTGCTCTCAATGAGAATTGAACTATAGATCTTTTCACATTAAACATGCTTCAACAAGTTTTCTACCATCTCATCCATCTCAACCTTTAGTGACTTGATGCTTCATAAATGTGTTAAGCTATGATCCCGCTTTCATTTATTCTTCCTTCAAACTGCTTTCACGTAGACTTCATGTAGGCTTCATGGCAGTGGTGCACTATACTTTGTGAACCAGAACTGACTCAAATAAAATAAAATTGGGGTCTACAAAATACATTTGGCTCATCAAAACTTATACAATATATTCCTAACAATTTCCCCCTTTTTGATGATGCCGAAACTTATACCCAAGTCATTTGGCTATGTCAATTTTGAAAAATAATCTTTTTGTCCAATTTTATTGCGACTAGCCATTTGACGGGTTTAACACATTTAAGACCTAGAGATTTTAATTTTGGACGGTCCTAAACGTATATTGAGACTATAATGCGGGGTTGCGTATTGAATTTTACCTTTTAATTTTTCTTCCCCCTTTCAATTTTATTTTCTCAATTATACGCCTCACATGCAATTACTAAGTCCAATTTAAAATCTTGAGACTTTAAAGCAATAAACATACTAGACACAATAAAGAAATAAACCATATGCTAGCAATTTATATTATGTACCAAAAGGCATAATTCGAACAAGCTAGCTATTATGTACACCAAAAAATTTGAGGCTTCAAAATTTTACCTCTTGCCAATTAAGGCATTCACGTGTGCCCTTAATTTCTTGAAGTCTTGTTCTCTTCCTTCGAGTTGGTATGGTGCGGTGACTTGCTCGGTAACATAATTTCCAAAAGCCTCTTGAATATTGTCACCCCGTAACACTCCGGCTTGGTACCAAGCAACGCATTCTTCAAATCATCTTCCATCCACCATTTCGTTGCTTGTGTGCCCAAAGAATGTCTCCAACTCTCGTATAAGCTTTAACTTGTTTTCTTCATAAATTGATCTTGAAGGTGATGATCTTTGGCATTCTTGTTGGCTAGGAAAGTCCGTGCTTTGAGCAGTCACCAAATAGTCCATTATTCTCCTTTTTCCTCGGCCTTGAGCTCTTGGTGTGGGTGTGACTCCTCTCGGTGCTCCTGGAGGTCGAATAAGCTCGACTAGTGGCCGTTGTGACGACGG